CCAGAATGCTCCTTGGAAGGAAGAATGGCCAGACTTCGTCTCACCTAGTTTGGTCATGTTGTAAGAAGGGACTGTTCTCTGGAGAAGGATGTCATGCTTGGTAGGGTGGAGGGTCGACGAAAGAGGGGGAGGCCTTCAATGAGATGGATTGATACGGTGGCTGCGATGATGGGATCAAGTATAGCAGGGACTGTGGGGCTGGCGCGGGATCAGGCAGTGTTTCGTTCTGCTGTGCATGGGGTCGCTATGAGTCGGAAACGACTCGACAGCACTTAACAACAACAACAACAAAAGTCCCTGAAAGTAACTATGGTTATAGTTTGTGAAATAATAATATCTTTCAGTTTGCCACCTATCTCAGCACCAATGCTATTTGGAAGATAATATAATTAAACTTTTAAGAGTCTTCAAATGTATTCTAGACAAGATTCGGAGTGTTCAATAAGCCACATATGATTTGTCTCCTGCCTACCTCTTTAGTTTCATATTGTGTCATTTTCTAAGTGATGACATGTTTCAGCCACACAGGCTGTTTAATCGTTTGACAAACCCAAGTCATTTCTAGCCTCAAGGCTGTGGGCTTGTTGTTTCCCCAGCTCTCCTTCACATGTTCAATCTTTCTCAGTGACAACTTCCCTGACCTTAAATTTGTTTAGAGCCGATAGCTATAAGAATCTCTTCTTAGTTCTTTTTGGTAACAGCCATCACAATATTAGATATTATCCATGTTTTTTTTTTTTTTTTTAATGAGAATCATTTAATATTTGTCTTTCTTAGTAGATTAATTTCCATGAAGGCACGGGTTATATTTACTTCACTACAGTGTCTGTCGTAAGAGGCTTTCCTGGAACAAGGAACATAGGTCCAAAATAAATGCTTTGTGAATGAAAAATGAATAAAATACTTAGTGTCTGACACATAGGAAACACTCCATAATATTAGCTACTATTTTTTTATTGAGTGTAGGAGGTAAGGGCAAGTGAGGAATCGAACAGTTCCCAAGTTTCCTGACTGATGGTGTGGACAGTCATTCACCCCTGTGCACATTTTGTGTTCTGGACTACTGAAGGACTTGAGAAAATGCACGAAACCACAGAGAACGAAATAAAATCACTTGCAGTTCTTTTATAATCACAGCTGTGAAGATACTGTTAAATATTTTCTTTTAATTTTGTGTTTTGTCTAGGCAAAATTCTCTTTTGCATATATGTGTGTGTGTGTATGAGAAAATTTCCCAGCTGATGATGTTGAAAGGAATGGTGGTTCAAACCCACCAGCTTCTCTGTAGGAGGAAGATGAGGCAAGTTACTTCTACAAAGATTTATAGCCTTGGAAACCCAATGGAGGTCACTATCAGTTTGAATTGCCTCAAGGCCAGAGAAAAACTGTGCTTCTTGGGGTTTTCAATGACCAATTTTTTTGGAAGTAGATCAACCAGGCCTTTCTTCTAAGGCTCCTCTGTGTTGACTTGAACCTCCAACTTTTTGGCTAGTGTTTTGGTGCCAGGAATATACCACAAATGGGATGGCCTTAACAAACAGGAGTTTATGCTCCTACCTTTTGGAGGCTTCAAGTCCAAGTTCAAGTGCCAGGCTCTAGAGGCTGTGTGAAACCCCCTCGACCTTGGGCTTCAGTTCTGCCTCTTGCTCCCAGCTCACTGAAGCTAGAGGAATCTCTTCACTCAAGCAGCTACTGGCTGTTGAGGCTAACAAGCCCAAGGTAGACAAATAAAATGGCACAGTCCCAATGTTACCAAACCACACAGCAGGCCATTAATTCAAGTCCATTGTAAGTCCCAAGGTCGGCAGAGCATGGCAGGCTGCTGAACAACAACATGGCTACATGCAGAGTCCAAGTGTTCCATAAGCTAGAGACCCTTCCCAAAGTTGTTTCTTATATACAGGAAGCAGACCATATCTGTAAAGCAGCTATTCAGCTCTTGTGGTGGGTCCCACCATGGAGTTGATTGCTAGTCTCATCATGGGGAATAACTACCACCAGCTTCCCAGCCCTTCTACCAGGCCCAGCCAAGTTCACGTACAACCTTAACCACCACAGTTAGCAGCAGGGTCTTAACCATTTGCACCGCCCATTGTTAAATGCAGTGTATACACTTCATTTAACAATTTATGTATTTCCCGAGTGATTGAATATTCTACAGAACTGTTCTAAGAGATGCATACTCTGGCTTCAAATAGATATATCAAAAAATAAATAATTCCTTGTCACTAGAATTTTAGTTTGTTTTCAGTATTTCTCCTTTATAAATTTTCAGAATAATATCTTTAAGTCTTTGTCAACATACTTTTATTTAAATCTATGAGAATTAATGCAGTATAGTGACTAAGAGAGCATGGGTTCTGAAGGAAACTGCTTAGGTTTGAAGTCTTCTTTATTACATATTAATTATAAAGTTGGGATAAGTTGTATAGCTTTTTCTCACTCAGTTTCATTATATGTAAAATGAGTATAATAACATGTCTCCTTATTAGAGTTGTCATGAGAATAAAATGTTATTCTAAGTGCAAATACAATAGTGCCTAGCTTGTAGTAAGAGTTTAATAACTGTTAGTTTTCATGATCTCTTAAGAAAATTTGTAAGTGTAAAAAAATTAGGTCAAAAACTTCAAATGTTTTTAATACTTGTGACGTATAATGCCAACTTGCTGCCCAGAAAGTTTGGATAAATTCGCATTAGCCAGCAATAAATATCTAAAACTATCACTGTCAATTGTCAAATGCATAAAAATGGTGTCTAAAATTTTTCTTGTCTTGAACACTACTATTATTGAATATTTTTCATATTTTTATTATCAGTTTATATCCTATGAATTATCTTCTTATTTCTGCTGCTCATTTAATTGCTTTCTTTATAATAACTTTGTAAGTGCTCTTTCCAGGGTGAGGCTAGTTGTCTTTCACTACCATGTATAGTGCAGTTATTTTTCTCCAGTTATCACCTGGTTTTCAATTTTATGTTATTTTCCTTTTGTATAGAATTTTAAATATTCATGTGGTAAAAGTCATCAACATATTTTATGCCTTTTTCATATGCTTAAATAGATGCCTCAACTTGTATTGAGAGAAATATACACACATAATCTTTTTTTTTTAAATTTTTTGGTATGGCTTTATTTTTCACACTAAAGTCTTTAATTCATGTAGAACTTATTTTGGAGTATGGTTTCAAATAGTAGCCTATTGTTTTCCCCCAAATATGCAATTGTTCAAGCAAGATTAACTATAATATATACCATGGTTTTGAAGTCCACTTTACAAAGAGTACAGTTTTAGTTAAAATGTATTTCTGAGTTCTTACATGCTACTGTAATTATTCTAGTCTATAGTCTATGGTATGTTGTTGTTGTTGTTGTTATGTGCCATCGAGTCTGACCCAACTCATAGTGACCCCTCCCTTGGGGGTCCGGGGCAGGAACAATACAGAAGGAGATTGTCCAACCTTCCTTCTGAGGAGTGGCTGGTGGGTTTGAACTGCCAGCCTTCTGGGTTAGCAGTCAAGTGCCTTAGGCACTATGCTACCAGAGCTCCCACTATGGAAGTAGATTGCCCCATCTTCCTTTCGAGGAGTGGCTGGTGGGTTTGAACCACCAGCCTTCTGGTTAGCAGTCAAGTGCCTTAGACAATACGCTACCTGACTATGGTATAGTATTTAATTTATCTGCAAAGTAGAAGGTCAGAAAAAAAAAAAGACAAACCTCCATGAATTGAAGTGACACCATAGCCACAACAATGGACTACTCAGACATACCAATGGTTATGAAGATGCCCAGCACTGAGCAGTAATGTTTCATCCTGTTACACATAAGGTAGCCATGAGTTAGAGTTGATTCTACAGCAAACTAGACACAATAACAAAACATTGTCTACAAATTTCTACCCACTCCTCTGAAAGATACCATTCACTAGTCATTCATTGTTTGGGGGTTGTTTTTGTTTCTCTCTCTTTTTTAATATAATGTATGTATGAATGTTTAAACATTAGTTCATTAAACAAAGAATGCATTTTCATTTCATCTATAACTTTCCTAATGTGAGAATTTTATATACTAGAATAACAAACACACAAAAGTAAATCAGTTGCTGTCAAAAGATTTATTTAAGAAAAGTGAGCAAAGTGAAAAAAGACCCATATTAAAAGTCTGCATCAGAAAAGAATGAAGATAGATGTCCTTGAATAGCTAACCAAGATCATAATAAGAGTAGGGTATTCAGTGTTTAAGACCTGGAAAAAATTGACAAAAGTTCAGGGAAGAGTTAAGATTACATTGATTCATATGTTTACACATCATAGAAATAAGATTACATTGATCACATGTTTACAATTAATAGTTTTTTTTTTTGACAAATTTAGATGTTTTTAAAATATTGTTTTACCTTAGCTTGCATCCACCATAAGCCAAGAAACTTATTTATAGCATATATATTTCATATGTGGGTACTCAGTAGTTCCTTATATGAGTGAGGGTATGAATATATTTTTAATAGAAAAGAATCATTAGTTGTACACTAATGAAACAAAATCTGTTTAAAATCATATTAATTTCAGAAAATATTTGAATTCTATAATGATTTTCCTGAGATATGTTGTTACTTAGATTCTCTCAATTTTCTTAACTCTCATTGAACATCTCATTGTACATCATTAATGGTAGCAGTAAGTGAGCTTTCTTTATTGCTCTCTTCATATTCCTCAAGATTAAGATTAAAGATTTTCTATTAAAATAAGTAAGTAATTGTTGGATAACTCATTTAAACTTTGTGATACTAGGAGAACTCTTCTACTTCTTGGTTTTTAAAGTTTCCATTAATATACTCTGCTATATTATTTCTATTCTTAAACTTCTGGATTTTCTAAGTGTAATACTTGCCTTACATTGCTCAATTCTCTCATTATTTATAGAGTTTTCCCTGCTGGACAAACTTCTTTTCTTATATGTTAAGACTAGATGACTAGGCTATTAAAGCATTCTATGCTTCTCTCAAATCATGAACCCATCTGGATCTTCTCCCAGGAGTTTAAAGAGATCCATTTCAGTTGTAAAAGTGTCTTCCAAGTGGTCTGAAGTATCTAGTATGGGGATTGGTGCATCTAGTATGGGGGTAGTTCCAGAAGATGGCTCAGCAACCTTAGTTACGGATTCAGTTCTATCATTTTCAGACAAATCTTTCGTTGTAGTAGGTGAATCATCCATGAGATTCATAGCTGTTGATGTGGGGACAATAAAGTCATATCTGGATTCAACAGCAGTGAGCAAAACAGAATGAATCTCAGCTTCATTTGAACTCTCTTTCTCCATCCAAACATTGACCCCATCAACAGACTCTTCATCTGTTAGTGGAAACTCTTTTGGGTTATCTTTGTCTCTTTCAGCAGAGGTAGTAAGTTCAAATACAGTGATGAAGTTTTCCTCACCAGAGTCAGGTAATTTAGCCATAGCATCAGGGACCTCTTCTGAAAGAATTACATCAATTTCAGTTATTTTTTCTTCTGCTAGGACAGTTATGTCTGGAATAGTGGTGATGTTCTTTTCAGTAGAGGAAGAGATTTCAAACTTAGGAGTAAAGGAGTTAGTGACGTGGACAACTTCATCAACATTAGATTTATCTGAGGAGTTAGAATTGGTAACATCAGGTTCATCCTTCTTACCTGAAGGTGTAGGGGTGTCAGTTATGCAGGTGGTGTTTTTCTTAAGTGTGCCAGAGACTTCAGAAGTTATTGAGTCATCTTTATCCCCTGGGCAAATTGTATCCAATAGAATAACTTCTCCTGCTACATTAGTGGAAAAATCTATCAAAGAAAGTGTAGCAAGTGGTGATGAAATATTACCCTTTTTTGCTGAAATGAAATTTTCACTAATAGAGTCATCAGTCACGGAGTTTGTAGTTCCAGTGAAAGTATATGTCTCTTTCTCTGTATGGGTGGTTGACTTAATGATATGAGTTTCAACTTCATCTTCTGATTTTAGTCTTTCCTTTGGAAGTATAAACTTGTTGACTACAGTAGATGAAAAATCACTTCCACGTGTATAGTCATTTACTGAAGAAACATGGTCTCCTTCTGAAGTAATAGATGTTGGTTCAGTTGGTGTTTTATCTTTTTCTGCTGGACAGTGGGAATAAATTTTAGGAGAAGCATCTTCAGCCATAGGATGAAGTGAAACCATGTACACTCACAAGATCTTTCTTCTGCCCAGTGGCATCCTCATTCAGGAGAGTAGTGTTCACTGTAGTGATTGAAGCATTGGTCATCATGGCAATTGTTGCATCAGCCACAGGTGCAATAATACTGGCTGCCCTTCGAGGTTGGTTCCTTGCTGTGGTTGGGCTCCTAGTTGCTAGAGTACTATTGATAGTAGATGAGAACGCAATACTGTTTTCTGTGATTATGCCACCAACTCACACAGCCAAGCACATTTTAATTGTAGAGAACCTGGGATTTACCATGTTTCTGTTTACAGGGAGCATGCTATCCCATATGGAGATAGTATCACTTGGAACAGACCTTGTAGAGTCAGCCAGGTACTTTGTGGGCTTTAGTATCAGTAAAAAAATCTCTGGGAGGCACAAGTTTATCAGCATCAGCTTCAACTCTCCTGTCTCTCAAATAAGTAATACTATCTTTTGCAAGTGAAACATCTTCTCCTGAGATTCATGGTATTTAAATACCTCAAAAATTAATAGCTCCTATGGCAGTAAATGTAGCTGTAGAAGGTATTTGGGTAGCAGGGACTGCATTTTTTCTTTTCTTCAGCTAGGGGATCATCACCTTTTATACAATCTTGTGAAGAAGTCACTGGCCTGCCTGTTAGGGCTCACTCAGTGTTCTTCTCCATCATAATTCTTACATTTTCTTGAATTAACTAGAAAAACAGTGAGAGTGTTCAGTTGGTAGGTTCAGACTCTTCTGGAGCATTTCCTTGTGGAGAGTGTATTTCAGCCCCAAGAGAAGTATCTGGCATGGTGTTGATGTTATACGTTATATAACATATGATGTTATATTCTCCTTGGTGTCTGGGTGTCATTTTAGCTGCTCCAGAGGCTGTTTTCATGGACAAAAATGCAGGGTGTGCAATAACTTTATTGGCCATGAGGGTTATAGTTTCAATTTCAGAGAGAGTGTTTTCTGTAGTGGTATTTATTTAAACAAACATCATCATTGTGGTATCAATCTTAAGGTTGAACTGAATATGGTGAAAGGAGATTACAGTCGTGTGTTAATGGTTTAAAATCAGTCTTCTTTGAGACCAAACGATGTCATTAAATTAAATATAATTTTCAGACTCAGATAAAAGTGAATCTGAAAGAAAAGCAGCAGCATTAACCAGAGTAAAAATGTCTATTTCAAGGTCAGTTGCTTATTTTTCATTAGCTATGGGCCAGAATCAAAGTTTACAGCTGCTTCTGTTAGTTTATTGGTTGGGGAGGTACAGATATCGCAGTTACCTGCAGAATAGCTTTTAAGATGAACATTTTAAAATTTTGATTATCTAAGGGCAGCTTCTTTAAAAATGTTTTTGCTTCAAGGGATGTATTTATTGAAGGCTCCAAAGTCTTTATTGATATAGGACATGCTGTCAGTATCAAGAACAGACGTCTCAAGAGTAAGTTGCAAGCATAGAACTTTTATTTATAAATAGAAATACTGTCATCTCCAAGAGCAGTAAAGGAAGTGAAAGGGTGAAGTTATTCACTCAGGTGGCTAACTTAATGAGAAGACTTTCAACTTCTTCTTTTTTTTCCCCCTGCATCACTAATGTTCATGAAGCTTGATGCAGGATATAGCATGTTGCAAAAGAAGACTTGGTGTTCTTTTTGGTGAGGTTTCTTTATATACAAAAAAAAGGAAAAGGAGATGAAGATAATTTAACTGAATAATTGTTTCACATCTTGGAAAGCATAGGGTCTGTTATGGTGAATAAATTTGGAATAAGGACAAAAATATTCATTTTTATGAACTTTAATTCCTTCCAGAAATGTCAGGTGAAATGATTATGTTATCTTCAGCAATATTGGTTTGTCAGAGTCTTTAACTTCAGTCTTTAACTTTCTTGGTCACACCGTCTGTGCTTCCACTTGTATAGCTATGATATGAAATCACATTGACTGCAGCATATTAAGACTGTTTCTCTCTCTCTCCTGAGGGTAGTGTTATCACCATGATTTGTGCTTTCTAAATCATTACAGGTAAAAAGCATATTTCAGATTGAGGCATGTTATCCATCATAGAACAGGAAGTATACAGTAAAAGTCTTAGTGTGAATTGTGGAATATTAGCCATCTTGAAGACGAAACTTTGACATCTGCTTCAGGAAATATAGTATGCTCTTCTTTGACCAATAGATTATTGACATCAAATATATTACCTGATTTAAGCCAGAGAATCAGATTCCATAGATAAGGTTTACTTTATCTGAATAATATCTTCTTTCATTGCAGGAGGGCCTTTTCCCAAGAAAGTATCAAATTTATATCTATTGACATATCTCTGGGAGTATATATATATATATATATATATATAAAATCTTCTTTGTTTTGGGAACTGTAGCAGGATCTTGCTTGGCTATTGGGTATTTTTTATTTTGAGATTTTTGGCTCAGGGATTATGCCTCTTTGAAGTAGCAACTCCCTCAGGTCAGATCCATGATGTAAGGCTTACTTTTTTTTTTTTTTAAAGGGAAAAGGTAGAAACTGCTAGCACAAGGTAAATATTTCTCACTAAGGTTCTAGAAAAGTCACTTGGCACATTTATGATTTTTAGAGATATTTGACTAGGAAAAGAATCCTCAGAAACAGATTTTGAAAATGTTGGTGTCATAGTGATATCAACCACTAAGACTTCCTTTGTGTGGAGAATATCTTGAGTTTCATTAGAAAAAAATCATGTGCAGTCTCAGAAGAATCAACTGTTAGATGATTGGTGTCTTCTATGGGCACTAGAATTCCTATTTTAGTAAGTCTATTTATCTTCAAATCTTATCAGTTTGTAAGAAAATATAGAGATATTATCCGTAATGGAGGTGATTATAATCATTGTTGAAATGGAGTCACAGAGGAAATTTTAAGATCAATGTCTTCATTCAGAGAACAAATTTTCACATTCAGAAAGAGTGAAGGAAGCCAGAGGAGCAATAACATTTTGAAATTTGATTATGTCAACATTCACATTTTTGTCCCCTTCTCTTTGAATGTGACTGATTGCAATTGAAGGATGTGGTAGCCTGTGGGGTCATTATTTCTTTGTATCCAATGGAGATGGAATTTGCAGTAGGTCAGTTATGACCCTCAAGTCTGCTTTATTGTTTGTAGACTCCTTAGTGATATCATTTGAAATAGTTGTTTCTTTCTGTGACTGAGGGATATCAGCTCTAAATAAAGTGGTTTCTTGAAACTCCTTGTTATATTGTGGTACAACAGAAACTTCTTGAGACTTGGCTAATAATTTTCCTATGTCAGCAACAGATTCAAGAGTAACATTTATGCTTTCCAAAGTTTGAAATTTACTATTTTTTCTTCTCAGGTGGGCTACATTAAATTCCAACTTAGAATTTCCTTCCACCAGAGAAATAATCTCCAAGTAAAACGAAGATTTCTAATCAGTAGGACTAATGATAATTAATTCCATGAACAAGTTTGGATCCCCAGCCATAGAGTTGATTTCCTGAGAAGCAGATCCAACTGGGAGGGAATCCTTAGGTGTGGGAAGGGCTGAGTAAGCCACTGTAAAGACACTATAATAATCTTTATTGATTGGTTTATCTTCAGCATCTTTAAGAGAGTTTGTTTCCATCTGGATAACTGGATGATTTCCTGTTATCATGTTCACACCTGTAATATGGTTCACTCCAAATTCAGTAGCTGTGTCTTTCATTGCAGAAGCTTTAGGTATTTCTTCTGTGTAATAGAAATTTTTTTCACTATCTTCATTAGGAAAAGGAGAAGAAAATTTGGTGCTTATTTTCTTGGGTTCTGCATTTAGACCACCATAGACATCAATGTAAAAAGTGTTGTCCTCTTTTATAACACTCGCAGATGTGTTAGGTTGAAGATTTGTGATATTGTCTGAAGAACCAGTGGAATCAGCTTCGAGAACCATATATACTAAGGGGAGATCCTTTGAGATCATTTGATTTTTAGTATTTTGCCATTGTGGGATAATGGCTTCATGGAAGTAAGAAAAATCTGTAGATTCAGGCTCTGATGCTGCTGATGTTAATGTTGGTGGATGATATAGGCTTGATCCTTCTATAATTCTAGGCATTGCAGTTTCTCTAGTAGGAACATTAGCAGTGAGAGTTCCTGGTGATCCCATAGATGTAAATCTTGGAGACATGACATTATCTGATGAAGAAAGGCTAGAATGACCAATGTTATTGTCATTCATGGAGATAGCAGGATCATTTGGCATAATGTCAGACATCTTTTTCAAAGGAGAAAAGGGAATGAAAGCTGTGTTGATTGAATCTTTTGAATTTTTCTCCATATAGAAAATGTCATCATTAGAAAGGTGATTTACAGGAAACATGCTAAACCTTGAATCAGACACTGCAGCTATACCAGTTTCTTCAGTAGCAAATTCAGATGTAGTTGATGTGGCAGTGTCTGCTCTTTTGGGTGTAAATGTCTTATAAATCCTAAGTGGTATGATTTTCCTGAAGAAATTGTCCCTATTTTTGACAGCATAGTTAGTGGTATCAGTTGTGAATGTCCTGCTTTCATCTATGGGTTCTGTGTCTGGAACAAGAAAATCCCCAGTTACCTTATTTTCTGAGGCTTCAGAGAGAAGAAGGGTGTCATCATCACCATTAATGGTGCCCTTTCCTCCAAATGTTTTGTCAGGAAAACTAGAAGGAAAATTGTCACTTGCATCAGTCAAGAAGTGAATTTTATGTCTAGGAGCCTTGGTGTTCACATTGTCAGTGGAATCTTTGAGAACAATAGATTCAATGTCAAAGTTCTGTCTAGGAATTTTAGCTTGGTAATTTGGTTTAGACTTAAATTCTGAAGATGTTGCATTAAATGGACTATATGAAGCAGGGACTGTGGTGAATGGTGGATGAGATCCATGTGTCTTGGGGGCATATGTGAGTGTATCTGCTTTCATAGGGGAATCATTTGATTTCTTCTCTGACTCGAAGGGATACCCATC